ATTAGGAGTTAAAGCACACTAAGATACTATTGAAAATTATACATTTATACAACTTTATACAACTTGTTTTTCACAATTTCTCAAAGCAGTCCCTATGCAAGCTCTTCAGACTCATCAACTGACCTACAATAAATGTGAAAATGATTATGACTTCACTAGGAATGACAACACCCAAAATTGAAGCATCATGAAAGGATTATGGAGCAAACTTTTAGCTTAGGCCACTTGCCTGAGAGCTGACCTCCTGGCCATAGGACAAGGAGGCAAGGATCCCCATGCACGGTGACCAAGAGGGAAAGGGAGTCACTGGTATTATTAAATCGACTAAAAATGGCGGCGTTATCGGAATGGATAAGGGCCAAAGTTTCCAATTGTGCCCCCCCAAAAAAGCAATGGAAATTGGAGACTCTTTTGCTTTATTTGTACTGTGAATACAATGAAGGACAGAGGTAAATGGCAACATCTTGGCCTTCTATAACTATTGAATTTCATAAGAGTCTCCTGGGCAAACGGAGTGAGTGTGTAATGCTGAGGCATGTAAACCTGTTGAGGTGTTACCCCTTGGTATCCGAGGCCAAGTTAAGTATAAGGGACTAACTGCCTGGATTCTTACGGACTCTGGAACAGGACTGAAAGCACTGTTGACCATTCAGTGCCCATGTGGGCACTGTGAAGAGGAAAACTGGCTCAGTCGTGTAGTACTGTAACTCGGAAGATACTGGACTGACCCAGAAGCAGATGTAGCTTGGAAAGTGAAGCGAGAGCAGAACCAGAGCTGAGAAGTTGGCCTCAGTAGCAGTGCAGAATGAGAGGAATGAACCAAGGGCTGAATTGGACGCCGGGGATAGAGACATGAATGAGTCAGGGAGATAAGAAGTAGGACTTACCTGTACAAATATCAAGCTTTGGTAGCAGCAGAGGACCAGAGGGATGGACCTGAGGCCAAACTGGACACCGGAGATCAAGACACAATGAGACGAGGACACGAGACATAAGGGCTGAGTTGGACACCGGGCACAGAAACATGAATGAGACAGGGACATGAGACACAGGACAACTGCTAACTGAAGCAGAGGTAGGACGCTGGACAGACCCTGGGCCGAGGAGATGTCTTCAGTAGTAGAGGAGACTGGAACTCAGGGATGAATTGAATGCCAACGATAGGGACATGAGACAGGGCAACTGCTGACTGGGCCGGAGGTAGGATGCCGGACAGTCACGGGGCTGAGGAGATGGCCTCAGTAGCAGCAGAGATGGGAACCCGGGGCTGAATTGAACGCTGGCGATAGGGACGAGAGACACAGGACAACAGCTGACTGGGTTGGGGGTAGGATGCCGGACAGACCCAGGGCTGAGGAAATGGCCTCAGTAGCATCGGAGACAGGAGGAATGAACCCGGGGCTGAATCAAATTGAATGCTGGGGACAGGGACACAAGATACAGTTAAATGCACAGGAGAAAAGCAAGATCAAAAGGACATGGAGGAAGAACAGAGGGGCTTGAAATTCAGAGGAGTGAGTTTACATGGAATGATAAGGAAAACAAATACAGACCACTGAAAGAAGAAACACAGGGAGATTGCAGAATGGGTGGTCATGGGATTGCAGTGATGGTGGCTCGGAGGTTCTGTCCTGCTGTGAGCTGAGCAGAAGTGTGCTGAAGAGCCATGGTTTGTTTATTACTCGAAGTTTAAAAGCTTTTTAAAAAAAAACATAAGCTTTTTTAAAAAAACTGGGGGAAATTGCATGTTTGCTGCACTTTTCTCCTCCTTGCTTGTGGCTGAAAGCATGGTCCACGCATAGAGAATGTATGCAACTAACGTTAGTAATGCAGGTGGCGAATATGAAATAAGCAGCATTTTTTTTTTAATCCAGAGCACAGTTCTATGGATGAGAGGGTTGGCTCAGCAGGCTGGCTTCATTGGCAGCTCGGGGTTTGCCCTGGATTGGAGTATAGCGTTGCTGATGATGTCGTTGGGAGAGCGCAAGATACATTAGGAATATATTTGATAGGAAAATTAGTAATATTCCTAGATGTACATCCTGAACAAAAGCTGTTTTAACAGTTTAGTGACGTTGTGCTGTTCATGTGATAATGGGAAGAAAGGTTTCAAATGGGAGATTTGCAAACATGGCGGCGAATGTGCGTTTGCCGAGAGCAGCCCATTAAAAATAAAACAGTAGAAGTAACTGGATAGTCAAACGCTAGATGTTTCAAAAGGATGGGTTGACAATGGCAGATCTCGGTCTTCGGAAAGGCAAGACTTGCAGATGCAGCTGGCAGATGTTGAAAAGTGATGAAGAGTTAGATCAATGGCTAGCTGGTACACGGAGATTGAGGAAATCTGCGGTTCATGGCTGAAATCAAACTGTGCATCGGAGCAGCAAATGGGAATATGGATTGTATGGTGTAGGCAGCGTCATAATACTGTCTGTGCAAGGACGCACTCGAGACAGTGAGACTCATGCAAGAGAGAGATAGGATCTCGTATTTATAGCATTTTGGGAGAGGAATGGCTTTCAGGAGCTAATTACTGACAGCTGAGTCCAATTGAGCTTGGTTGTTGTCATCCCTCCCGAACTTTCGTTACAAACTCGATTCATTTGTTCAACCTGGAGAAAGTATGATAACAAAAGTAGTTCAACTGTATTTTTTTTTCCAGATGTAATTAATTGATATTACATCGAAATAAACACTGATTACATTGATTTACTGTGCTTCATGCTTTGATTAAATGTTGTTCCTTTTTGAAATGGTCAGGGCAGATTTAAACACCAGCTCTTCATTAGCTTCAAAAGGTAGTTATAGTAAAACATCAGCTGGCAAAGTTAGTTTTTGGCATTATCTGAAGCAAATAATTTTTCCTTGATGAGTGATTTGCTCTGACAATTTGTGATCCTTAGCAGTAATTTGTAAAGACACTGGAGTCAGCGTGACACCATTTTAAAGGAGAAGCTTTAAAAAGTGTCAGAAAACAGATATGCTAGTAGACTGCTAAGTCTTACTGCATCCATCACTACTACAGTACATGGTTCACTCATGTCTTGGAAACTGAATTCACATTGATACTTATGTTTTAGGGCAGAGTGACCTTTGGCAATTGCCCATCCATTTTTCAGTCTATTCCATAATATACAGCATCAGCACATACTGTAGTTATTTCCACATCAAGGATGGATGGAAAAGATGGCTTCTTATTATTTTATCTTGCCAGTTATGTCTGTCAGTGCACACCTGTCAAAGGACGATCTTTTTTTACATTAAAGGAGAATATGCAATCCTCCATTATAATCCTAGGATATTGAAAGTCAGGGAACACAAAGGCTCCCAATATGATCAGAAACCTGCAGGAATACACTGTATGAATACATTCTTTCATCACAGTTTGCAGCACACAAAGAAGTAACAGATTTGTAAGGGGATGAAAGGGAACATATTTTTTTAGATGAACTCTCACATTTAATGCCAAAAGGTTAGTACATACTCTTGCACTAACCTATCAAGAATGATGTCTTAACAGACCCCCTGAAGACATTGTCTACTTCCACAAGACAGTTCTGTCACCCATCATTCAGGTGTCCTGATAACTGGAAGAGGGCACCCATCTGCTTCGTATATCCATACCCCTCTTACTTTAACCTTTTCACTATAAAAAGCACATACCCACTTCCATCTAATTTTTAATACTGCCAATGCAGTGCTGACATCTCTGTCTACTAATCAGAATTCAGAAAATAAATGTTATGAGCAATTTCCACAGGTGAATGTATTTGTAATTAAATACAGTAACAATTCAATATTATACCTTTGTACAAAATATTGATAAAGCCAGGCCAAACCAGCACCGTACTCCCAAAATGCAAGATTCCTTTGAATAACAAAACTTCAGTACAGTAGCAGTCTTTTGTTTATTCTCAGTAGTTGTAGCCAGTTTAATTGGGAACAACTGCTCTAAGGAAACAACAATCACATTTTTCAGAAATATGATTCTGAACTTAACTTAATTGTTTTTAATTTTTGAATATAATTATAGTTTCCTTACGATAATAATAGGATTGAAGGTAATGACAGAAAATGCAATTAATATTGAGGCACCAAGGTATAATGCTGCCTTTTATATTTACAAATGACAGAAGATAGCATAGACTTCTATTACAACTCTAGCAAGGCACAGAAGCAATCCTCCAGCTCAGTCTGCTACAGGACCGGGCTGTTTCTAGATTCTTTTATTGAGTCACAGATGATAAAGGTCATTCTCTAGGAACCCTACAGAGGAATGGCTAGAAGGAGGATAAATTAGAAACTTAGGCTCAGGCAGGGAGTTGCTAGCTTGGGTTGCTAGCTGCAAAGAAACAATGAAAGGTTAAGATCTGAAGAAGGTAAAACAGAGAAAACTTTGTGTTTATTCTTCATTGCAGTTTGTCATTTCTTTACAATTAAAAAATAGGTATATTTATTGGAATGGAATCTGATCCCTCCTATGAATACTGTATATGTCATATAATAGGCTTATTCTAAAGCTTTCTTACTAAATCATTTTTAGGACTAGTAATATAGTTATCTCATGTGCTACTATTACAGAATGCCCTCCTTATGGGCAAAATTACATATTATCTTATTATTAAAAAATAATTATTATTAAAAAATGATTCCTTTTGTAATTTCTTTGTACTATTGAAGTTATCTTATTTCTAAACAAAACCCTCAGTCCTATCAAACAGATCAAATTAAGAAAATTCAGTTCTGTTCATATTCTGCTGTGTAATTTGTATTATTCATCCTATGTATAGACTGTTCTAGACTTTTTCATTTCAGATAATCTTCTGTTTGTCATTCTATTTTGCCAGGTGTGCTCATTTCTAAGCACCTGATTCTCTAATCTGCCATCTATTTAAAGTCTGTTCTGTTACCATAGCAACCAAATATTGATTTCATGGTTTCTCTTACAGTCCTCTTTCATTATGATGAATTATTAGTTCCCAGGCTACTGTAAAGCAATTCTGAAATGTATACAAAGAATCCTTAGCACAGTGAGGTGGACTCCCTTTGATACATACAGAATCTACAGAAACAGTATGGATCCCTTCCAACCAGCTGTAGCCTTTTCAAGGTATGTTCATATTTTTCAACACTAGCATTGTCTGATGAGCTTCTCTGTGCAATAAGTATTTGCAGTCAACGGAGGTGTCAAATCTAATACTTTTTATATTAATTTCTCAGTTCCTGTCATGTAACTGAAATGTCCTCTGTGTAGTTTATAAAAGAAACAGTTGTTAATATCAAAGAAAGTGTACCCTTTCATACAATTACTATAATTATAAACTCAAATATCTTATATTTAATGCACAGAAAGCACTTTTGTCTATTTTGTGTAATTACGAATACATGGAATTCTTATCAAACATTCAGGTTGTTAGGGAAATAGTAAGGAATGGACCCTATACAATTCCTTGGAACTCTGGAGCTTGAAAACAGAGTTAAACATGGGGAACCCAAATACAAAGTCCAAACAAGCAGTAGGTTGAAAGCCAAAATGTGTTAAAGCAAGAAATACCTGAGGGAGAATCCAAAAGTTGTGGTCAAAAGTAAGGCCCAAATCCGTAGGCCAAAAGGGAAGCAAAGACTGTCCCGAGGTAAGCAAGAATAGTAGCTCTCACAGTTAAAACCTAATATTGAGCAGGGAAAAGAGAGAGAGCTGGGCTTAAGTAGGCTGGGAAGGGGAGGCGTGGTGGTGAAGAGGTGCTGGGATTGGTTGACGAGGTCTAAGTGGTGTGAATCTTCTCTACGTAACTGAGGTTGTTGTCTGTGGGTTTGGAGCCCCCTGGTGGTTGGATGATGGTACTGTAACACGTTGCATGACAGCAACCAAGTTTTTTCTAATCTCTGCTATTCTAACTCCTAATTCTCCATGATGTCACTTCCTAAAAATATTAAATTCAATTTAATTTATTTTTATATAGCGGGTATCACAACAAGGCTGCCCCAAGGCGCTTAGCAATGCAAGTGACCATACATGTGAATACAGAACAGAAAAGACCAGAGACAACGGAGGAGAGGAACCAAAAACTCCTTAGTAAGGAGAAAAAAAACCTCTAGCTGTCCAAGGTCAACTGGGTCAACTGGCTGCCCAACCCCCTTGGACATGCTAACATTATACAATTAAAATAAATGAATAAGGGTATTAATCCATACATCACTTCTTCTGTATGTCAATACTCCATGCAGATCTCTGTAGACAAGCAAAATCCTCCTAAATGATAGCTATTTCCACGATGTCCCTCTTGGATCCTTACGATAAATATAATACAATACAAATACAATAAATATCATACTAAGCCCCTCTCTAGTGCTCACATTTGTCTATTTGCATCCCTCCTTCACCCTTTTTCCACCTTCACAGCCTCTCCTTGTTTATTTTTTCTCTTTGTATGGGGGTCCTTCCTTCTTTGTCCTGTTGCCGTGTGGTTGGCCATTACCAGGTGGGTTAATTAAGTAAGAACATCTTATGCCTGACTTCTCAGTTAACATTCCTAAATCCATCCATTTTCTTACCACTTTATCCAAAACAAGGTCACAGAAGAGTCCGAACCTATCCTCGAGAGCAAATGGTGCAAGGCAGAATATATCCTGCAAGCTGAGCAAGAGTAAGGATAATCACTGGGGTTGCTTCTGGAAGTAGTGTAGATAGATCATTAGGTAAAATGTCCACCCTAATAGCCCAGAATAAATTCAGGGAACACTCTTCTATAGGAAACACTGGACTTATATGGAGAAGTTAAATTTGTGTTCATTAAAAATCTAATAGCACTGTTCAAAAAACAACCTTTCTGCTAAGGTTGCTCAGCCTAGGATGCCTAAAATTAATCTTTAGTTGAACCTTTGCATACATAGTAATTTGCTGTGTACAGTAGTTGTGGGTACAACACCTGTGTGTCAGATGAAGTGGGTCTACCTTCATATGTTAACATTGCTGGATGATTCAAATGAAAATGAATAAACCCAAATTAATGGCTGGATCCCAAATAGGAAATAAATATCTCAGTTACAGTATATTTTTCTCTTCTTTATATTATTATTGACTGTTGAAACAAACCTATTTTTCCTGCTGGATAGAGTTGATAGGAAAACCCACATCTCTGTTAATTTGCATCATTAGTATTTTTAAATGTTTTTTTTTCTGTACTTACATTCCCATAAACGAGCTTTTTAGCTGTCAGCTATGAACATTTTATGGAGAACTTAGTATGAATGAAATACTTGTCAAACACTGATGCACCTTTTGAGTAGTATCATCTGATAGAATAGTCTCTTTGTAAATGCAAATCATGTGTAGCAGGTGCTACAGTACCTTCCACTGAGACTTTTTTCAAACAAGAGAAATGTTATAGTTGCCCCTTCTCTTCAGTTTGTACATGCACACTACTTCAAAATAAATATTATACCTATGTTGTTTTTATGTTTAATGTTACACATTTCAAGGAAAAAGAAGACAAAAGCTGAATTTTGTACAAATGTCTTGCAAAAATGAAGACAATTCTTGCTACATGCAAAGGGCCAAGTACTGTACATTGCATTCAGTGAGAAATCTTCTGATATTATTGGCACATACAGTACAGTATGTACTGTATTTTAGTGCTTTGTTTTGTACAGTATGTAAAATGAAATTATTTTCTTGCCTGAATTGCATTAATTGATTTCTTAGTTGTGTTTTGGTGTGGTTTTCAGGTGGCCCCCTGTTTTTGACAGCTGGATTTTTGTAAAATGTTGAAATTATTAAATTAATTAAATTTGTAAATTTTGTAAAACAGTCACTTCTACGGAAGCTTATTAGTGCCATGGAGAAAAAAAAAATTGTTTATATGAGATAGTATCTTGTTCATATGAGAAAAGTATCTCATTTATACAAGATAGTTGTTGCGTTTATACAGGAAAGTATCTTGTGTAACGCAACGGGGTTTAGGTGGGAGCCCTTGCCGCATTAGGTCAGCCCTGCACTGTCTGGGGCTCAAACCCGGGACTCCCGCGTCACTCAACTGGGACCCAGCCCCGTGAGCTAAAGAGAGATCTCTCTACAGCCCAGTGGCTGTAGTCCTGCTATTACAGGGAAGGGCGGTGATGTCACCGCTCTGGTAAGCCAGCTCTTACACACCACTGACAGCCGTAAGCGTTATACTTGTTTATACAAGAAAATTATTCCATTTAAACATAATAGTTAATTTGTTGCCTATTATATTAATACTGTATATTGCATTTTACATTAATGTATATGCAATAATATTGCCCCATGCAATATTCCATACACTTCTGTTTATGGTTAACATCTTGTGTTGAGGAGCATAAACCTGGCATAAATTTAAATATCCTGTAGCAGAAGCAAATAACTACTCTTAGAGGAAAACCTTATAAATCCTAAAAGATGGTCATCATTATTTTTTTAGGGAAATGTGACAAAATGTATCAATGATGTGAAATAACATTTTAAATCATTTTAAAATTATTTTTTATTATTACAGCAGACACGATGCTGCCATTTTATGACAAACCATATAATTCTTATCTCTTTTTTTTCAAAACATATCACAAATTCCATGATGTAAACAAAGTGAAAAACATTTAACATATTTTACAAAACTCCAGAATAAACACATCAGTACATTCACAATAAACAATTTGTGCCAAAGAAAAGTTACATTTTTACAAGTAAACAGTCCCTTCACAATGTAAGCACAGTACCTGTACACAGTAAAACAGAGGCTAAACAGAAGCAAAATGTTGTACAGGAATCATGCCTTTCAGTTGTAATGATTGTAATATCTGTGGCTGTGAAGGGATTGTGTGTGCAGTAAAAACACTCTAAATATGGCAGTAAATGTGAGGAGCCTTTAACCATTTCTAACTTAAATTACAGTACATACTGTTTTTTCAAGCTTGTGCATACAAGCTTTTTATATCAGAGACTTCTCTTACTCTTATTTCTTTTACTTTTTGGGACATTTGAATTCAAAATATGCAACAATGATCAAACTAAAGCTGCTTATATGCAAAGAAGCTATGACAAAAATAAAAAAAGAGTATACCCACACCATGGCTCACAGTCCAAATGACTTTAGTTACAAAATGCCATTGTTACAGCATTCTAAATCATTTTTCTGGGTAATCTTCAGAAATAATTTAAAAGATTAAAAAGTTTTAAAAAGTTATTTATTTTTAAAAGGGGAGTTACAAGAATACATGTATTCTGGTAAAAAAAAAATCCTAAACCCTTCTTGGATAAAAAAAAAACAACATTTCACAATATTAACATATATATTCACATATCAAAAATACATCTACAGTATAAATCACAGAATCAAACACCAAGAACCAGGTGATGTGTTTTAATCCAGTGGGGTCTTTGAAAAAAAAATGTTTGCAATTCTTTGATTTGTACATGTGGAATTTATGTTTGGATTTTAATCATATACAAATACATTTAAGTTACATGCAGATACATTTAGCATTTTATAATTACAAAAAGTAATCTTGAATTGTGAACCACCATATGGATATGCTCTTTTCAAGAATTTAGCAATATTGTATGTTTAGGAGATTTAGAAATTATTTTTATATTTTTTTCATCAAGAACACTTCTATCCTTCATTTTTTACAAAAGAAATGCTCTATGCATTTATTTTCAGTTTTTTATTACTCCTTTGAAGATGAAGACCTTTTGAAGCACAATCCAATTTTTTTTTCAAAGCTGTTTAATTAAATGTAACATTAATGAACAAATAAAGGATCCCTGGGATTAACTTCAAAGAATTATGCATAAATATTTCCAAGACTATACTGTTGTGTTCATCTCCTTTTACATACTGTATTAACAGCATATTCCTGAAAATAACAAAAGTCGACATTGGCAAAGACCAGAAAATGCTTTTCCATAACTTCATACTGTATACTTCCATTATGAAGATAATGGAAGATTTTGAATTATGTTTTATAATATTATGCTTATAAAATATGTTGATGTTGCACTCAATTAGTTAAGCTCTATGTGTGCTCTATGATCACAGATTCAAGCCTTAGTCATCCCAATAGCCAGCTGTGACTGGGATGTCCTAGATATCTGCTCACAATTGGCTGAGGACCACCGAGAGGATAGGGTGGGATTAGTGGCCAGGGCTTACTCAGCTCTCAGACATCCCTACAACAGCTTGGGTGATTGCAGGCATGTGGTGCTACTGGTACAGTAACTCCTCCAGTCAGAACATAATTTCCAGTATGAGGCAATGTTGTCTGTGTTAAAATACAAGAGGTTTAAAGGTGGGTGGATTAGAGGAATTTGCCAGTGCTTCCTAATTCTGCCTTGACTGCAGCGGTGGGGTTAGTACTGTAATTGTGAAGCAAGACTTCAAATCACAATTTGGCTTTTTAAAAATAAAAATTCTAAATTAATAAAAAATATGGTGATGTAGCCTGGAAGTACTAGTAAAAAATGTGTATACAGTAAATAGATAACAACAGATAATACCTTTTCAATATTATTTCTATATTTGTAACATAAAGTTATGGAAAGCCACTTTCAATTAACAATTTAATATTACTGAAGAATACTTTAAAATCGAATGTGATCTAAACATATGATAATTAGTTTTATTTGCCTAAAGCATGACTAAACATCAACTGTAAACTGCCACAGTCATGTTCTATGTTCTAGGTTAAGAATATTTGTTTTCAGTTTCAAATTAATTCAAATTATCAGTGCTTAATGTCTTTTTATTTGACATATTCTACTCTAAAAGTGTTGTTATAATTGTCATGAATAGAATTATGTCAGTGTATCATAAAATTATTTGTTGGCAAAAAGAGTCCTTTTGGTCTCAAATTAGGCTTGATACTTAAGAATACAAGACAGTTCAAATAGCTTAAGTATGTACAGTATTTTGTATACCCATTAATTAAAGATAACAATTATACAGTATATTAGTTCAGTTCTAGAATGCTTTCAAAACATCAAAGAATCCTTTACCATTAAAAAAATAGCTTTATTTTAATAAATGCATGCCTTTTATTAAACACAACACATGGAAAACAGAACAAAAAAATAACTTATTAATTTATATCCTTCACCAGGGAAATTGATGTAAATTCCATATATTGTTAAGTTCTTCATCTCTGGTCGTGTACTGTGTAATTTCCAACACTTCAACAATAGTATGAAACAGTGGATTCAGCTGAGTTCTGCTGACTGACCCAATTATATACATAATTACATCGTTTTACAAGTTATTAATATAAGGCTGTATTAAGTAAGAATATCTCTTTACTTTCACGTTAATTTCCACAATTGTTTGTTGAGGTCTACTGAATATTTTTCCCACACACAGATATTTTGTTTGCCAAAAAGTTTCTACAAAGATTAATGAAAAAAACATACACCAAACTGTTAGGTGGTTTACATAATTAATTATATCCCTTGCACTATGGTGATTATGAAATGCAAATATGGACTTAAATGATACACCATTCAAAACATCACATCATGCGAAACTTTACAATTGTCTTAAAATAACTACAGGCTTGTTAGACTAATGTAATTGTATTAGAAGTAATAATATTCATTTGTTCCACTAGATCACTTGTAATCATAGATGATACAAAAATAAATATTTAAAAATGGCTATGTCTGTAAACAAATATCTTTAATAATAACTTATTAATTTTACATTATAATTCACATACTTTGAGAGAACATTTCTCCTTCAAAATCAAAGTGTTTGTTGCTTTGTACTTGTCTTATCACCTCCCCTGTATGTAATGGTCTGAGTAAAATGAAAGCAATATCAGACCTTTGAATATGGGTTTTTGTGCAATTAAATGTTAATATAGAATTAGAGATGATCAGAGCAGTTCTTATATTGTTGTATTAAATGTAATGGTCATTTTTCCTAATTTCTACATTTTTCTCTTTATTTTCTAGCATGGAAGCATGAATGATTTGAGCTATGTATTTTCTGGAAGACAATATCCACTGCAAACTCCTTTTATTGTATGTTCTTTAAAAAGTATATGGTTATATTATCTTTTTACATTGGGATTTATTTTTTATAATATCCTGTTTTTTTTCAAATGCTCCCCCGAATTCATGACCCTAGAAATCACTTTTTACCAATATGAAGAAGCTTACAGCAGTGACAATATACTGTATTGAAGAGAATTTGGGTCATCAGAGAAGATACTTCAATTGCAAAATCTGGATAATTAAATTTATGCAGAAGTTAATTTTTCAGATAGAAATAAGTTATACTCATATACAAAACATAGCATGCAGTAATAGATTATAGTCACTTGCTCGGGGGACACACACTGGTTGTCCTAGTTGCGCCATTCAATAGCGATACAGTACCTACAGTATGAATGTCAATGCAATTGTGATGTCATTCGTAAGGCAAATTGTTAATTTGATCAATTACATAAGTGACATCATCACCCTCTGAAAACTAGACAGTGTAGAACTCTGCAATAGCAGAGGACCAGTCTTTTGGCATAGCTGAGTTATCCACTATGTTCAGAGTGTTGTAATGCATACTCGGAGCCCATGAGCAGCTGGGAATGAATTCCAAAAAAGCAGGGAGAGCTTTTCATACTGTAGCATCCAATTGAAAGGATATGTTCATGTTGGCTTTATCTCCCCTTTACAAGTTCTGTATAAGGATAGTATTGGAAGTTAATTAATACATTAATTAACAATTGCTGATCGTAAACTGGATGGTAGTAAAAAAAAAGCGAATTGTCTATTATACATTTAAAATTAGTATGTTTGATCCTCCTCCAATTACTCATGTCATCTAGCTACAGAACAAGTAAAACAGAAAGAAAAAAACAATTTTTACTGATGTTCAGCAAATACTGTAACTGTGCACTGCGCCTGACCCACATGTTCATGTCTGTGGCTGCTAGCACGGCTGTAGACTGCACTTGGGGGAATTGAAATGATGCTTTCAGAGTGTTGTCTCAGTTTTGACAATTGTGAAAATTGACATTTATTCAGAATTCAAATCTATTTTAAACAGCACTTCATTTTTAAATTTGGATCAGAAATAGTTCAGTGTTTATACACTTAAAATTGAACATCACATTCGGCCTAGATGTTGAGAATCATAATCCGGAGGTTTTATAGTTGACAGTGGCATCAGTACACAGCATTCCTTCAAGCACAAATTGCAATATTACGGGAGCGCATTGCTGCCACCAAGGAAATAAATCCTCGCCCTTATTATACATGTATAGAAAATTATACATGTATAGAATGAGCATTTCTTAGAAAATTCAATGCTCTTTTTTGTGGTTCATGCTGACCTTGAAGTCTAAATGAGGTTAAGATTATTAAATTATTTCTGTCTTCTGACAAGTTTTTATTTCTCTAAATTGGATTTAACAATCTAAGTAAAATATATTATATTCCCCTTTGGCTGATGTCAGTGTATTTCAGTATCTTGGTATATTCAAAACCAAACTTAAGCCTAGACAAATTTTATTTCACTTCATGTCATTTTAATTTTAAAACAGCGAGAAGCATACATGCCATGATGCTCACTGAGAAAAGTCAAATGAAAATTGATAGATGGAAAAATTGGGGATTATCTGTGAGTATTCAAAATAACACTTTGTTTTAAGAAGAAGACCCCACACCCGAAACCACAGCTGTGTTTTGTTTCTTCTCTTTTCTGCTTCTACCCCATCTCTATTTTTGCAATGGTTAACTCCTTTCTCTGAACAGGGGGCCCAAGGTATCTCATCTTATGGCCAGGAAGTTACCCCTTAACCAAGGAGCTTAAGCCAAAATGTATCATACTTAAAATACTCAATAAACATTCACAAAGCACATGATTCTGGGATGCCGTTAATCATTGTGAATCATTCTTAAATCCAAGCTAAGCAAGGCTAGGGCTGTTCAATCCTCAGTTGGGAAATCCAGGTTGTTTATGGACTGTGTTTCTGTTCTGTGATGATGGTGAATCAATAGTGAGAACTCTTCCCCACGGACCAAAATGTAAAAAGTAGGTGGGTGAACGGGTAAACTTTGTTGTTCCTGATTAGGAGTGAAGTAAATTGAATGAGATGTTAAACTGAAGTCCTAACTACTTGGTTAATTAAGACGGCATGACATTGCACGCACGAGAACAGGAGTGTTAACCTTTCTGACATGGCTAATTCAATTAATAAAGTAATTCTCTACCTGATCTCTTATGTAGTAGGGCTGACGGCTTATAATGGCAGCCATGTGTTACCTTGGTGGGTGGTGCTCTTCAGTGGTGAATGAAATGGGACTCTTCCTATACTGTATGGATATAGTATGTATGTTTTTGGATCCATTGAGATACAATATTATTATTAAACATTACGTCCCTTGTTCTATGAGGTCAGACTCATCAGCTGCTTAAGTTCTTTTAATGTAAGACAGACATGTAAATTCTTCAATTCAATTCCCAATGAATAGTCCATAAGCAAAAATGACACATCAATGACTGTTCTTTGCTTCACTTGAATTATGTCCTACTCAACAATGGAAAAGTCACCTTTGTATTTAGTTTTCAAAGAAGGTCTCATGGTTTTCATACTTAGATATGACAGGTCATGTGCTGTAGCAAACAAAAGGTGTTTTAAATATGTAAATTATTTAACATTATAAGTAAAAATATGAAAACAATCCATTGTATACAATAAAGGGTCTGAAAACTGTGGACTGAATTAAACTGTTCCTTTGGTTTAGGATAATGAAGGATAATGGTATTTTCTCTAGAAAGAGTGGCGTGTACAGTACTTAAACGTAAACAATGGACAATTCTCATTGCAAAACAAGTACAGATATTGCTTATGAGGATTTTTCTCTCATCATTATTTCAGTTTTATTTCCCAATCATTTAAAATGAAATCAATAAATAAATACTAACACATATTGTGTAAATGAAATTCCAGCAGAAAACCTGTATTTATTAATTTGAGGGCTGTGTAGTCCAGAGGCTTATACTTCTTATAATCAGCCACTCCTTTTGACTAGCTGTCACAACAATTCTTACACATTCAATATCAAATGAAATTTTATGTTCCACATCCAGGACTTCAATGTTCCCATTTTTAAATTCACCTAAGGTAATGAAAGCTGAACACTGTTTTCCTTTTTTAGTACCCACAATTTTCTCCCCAACTTCTAAGGCTCCATGATGCAAAATATCATTTTGACGGTCATCTGTGCCGGTGACAATTTTTATTCTGTTAATCTTGGTTGACTTATCAAATACAATTAAAAAGAAGTCTCCTGTAGAAGGTGACTTGCCCCAGAAGTACTCATCTCCACTGCTGTATGCTTTACTGGTATCATAATTTTCAAATACATTAATATTTGTATACAGATTGGCAGATGGATTATCAGGAATATCAAAAGAGTCCTCTTCAAAGTCATCATCCTTTAATTTGTTCTCAGCTCCCTTGTAAGAAGAATAGTAACCCATGTGCTGAAACAGAGATGGCTTGAATCGTATGACATCCTTTTGTGCAAGAAGCCCTCTAAAGTGAATGAGAAGCCAATCACATGGCATTTCCTGGTAGAACATCAAGAGAAAGTGAGCCAAACGTGGAAGATCATGCGAGTGGTATAGTTTCCCAATGTATCCCAACTTGGAAAACTCAAGTGTAACCCAGTAGGATCCTTCCCGTGAGGTAATGACTTTTTTCATAGCAGTTAAGAAGTTTTTTGCGCATCGGACATCATCTTCCAGCATCATATAATAATCCGAGAGATTGCTGCAAAAGCTTAAAAGGAAGGCATAGTCAATGTTTTGTTTAGATCGGAACCTGACCCTGTCTTCAGGGTCATTATAGTTTCTCTTTAATCCATCTAAAGCTGGATAGTACTCTTCAGGAGCATGTATAACCAGTAGTCTCCCAGCTATAATATGGTGGGCAAACTTTCTGGAGATGTCTTGCACTAAACATTCACACCATGCCAAATCAAAGTCTGCAAGATGAACAACAACTACAATCTCTTTTAGTTCTTCATAACTTGACTGGTCAAAAATTGATTTTATTGTTTCTAGTAAATAGTTCCCTCTTTTTCTTTTCACAGATGAAAGTCCAATGGTTAAGTATTCTGCAAAAAGAAAAAAACAAAGATGACCATCACACATGCAGCACATGATAGTACAATAAAGTAATGGGAAATGCTTTGGTTTATGTCTGTGTGTTTCATTACTGCATAATTTTGTGAAATTATTCTTGTGAAATTAGCATGGACTTGGTATGTCAGTGCAAATAGGCATTCATTTTCCTGGTAATGCCTATTTTGCTCTGAAAGCTATGCAAATAAGGAACAGTGGGAAGGTGTAATGCTTAAATTAGACGATGTATAGCCTTTTTGTATTCTCATAGTTTCACCTGAAAGACCTCATGATACTGTTATTATACACAGGTTACTGTTTGTATAATAAACCATGAGTGTGATGACATGCTAAAATAGTGCTGAATATTTCTAATTTACTGATGTATTGTATCTCTTTAAACACTTGGTTGTAGAGTTTTTGCCGACACTAATTTTCAGACATAACTAGTGTGTGTTTGCGTATTGAGGAGTGTTAATTTTTTTTCATTGTAAGAAAACTTAAGAGAAGTTTTAAATTACATCAAACTATATTATTCTCACAATGGGCAATTAACAAATTCTTCACAGTGTGAGGACTGGGCAAAATGAGGTCTTTTTCTCCCAAGGCAATTAAAAAATCAGGAACATTGATAACAACACTGGTACAAGGTATTTACTCTCATAACTATAATATATGACAATTTAATTCTGAATTAAAAGTTTACTGTAAATATTGATTTATTTGGATTATGATATACTTTAAAATGCTACTCACTTTTTCTAGCTAAAGGTGATCCAGCAAGGTAGCGGAATGTGACATTTATAGTTCCAGTGAAGTTAGATAAGTCTTTAAATGTAGGAACATAGCGTTCAGAATTCAGTTGATGCATTGATGCTTCTCGTAGCTGTCTCTTGTCCTCTTCCTAAAAACAAGTTTACAAGAAAATAATTTAAACATGTGAAATGAAGATGTTCATCTCAATTTTTTTCTCAGTTTCACTCAGACATGGTATCACTTGACACTACATCAGATATGCGTCATGTTATTGAAACTATACAGATTTAGCCATTCAAAATGCACAAGAGGTGTTGCGGTAAATTGCAGTGCACATGCCAAAAGGTACTGCATAATACTATGTGTTTTTTTAAAATTAGGTGAAATACCTTGTAAAACCACCAGGTGGAGGTGGGAATGCTTAATGTCTCGTGTGCGGCATTTGGGCTGTCACCAGAAACCGCCTGGCTTCGAATCCCAGTTAATACTGAGGGACAATCTTTCTCCAATTAAAGAATTTACATTGTAAACTGTTTGATCATTTTAAACTTTGGATTACATCATGTAACACAGTAAACAGTAGGTATATTTTATAAAAGCAAGATTGCTCAGTTGGACACAAGTACACAACCTTCCACCTTCTTCATAAATATTTTAATTATGCATAAAAGTTTTTAACTTGGTAACTTACAGTGGATTGTGGTTTTAATGTCCTTGATCTAATATTATAAAGTTTATATGCTGTACTTCATATACAGATGCAGCCATTCAAAGTGCGCGGTAAAGACACGTACCGGAGGTAATTGGCTACGGCGTCGCGTATCTTGACGCAAGATGACGCGGAGTACCGCTTTACGTGATTGGTTGACCGACAGGGGCACTCGTAGTCCGTTGGTCTGTCGTAGAAAGATTTACAGTAAACTTCTTTACTGTGCCCGTTGTAGTATTGAATATTCATGTGGAATTTTACCACTGAAGGGAAATCTTAGTAGCTGAGCATAAAAAGAATAGGAGCATACTG